ACATGAAGTTGGTCGCTAAAGCGACCAACTTCATGCTGTTAATTTTTTGTGTAACAGTGATGCGCGCGCATCTTAAAATTTCACTCTCATCACTTTTTCATAACGCGCCTAAAGAAGTATAAATTCAACAAAACATTTGTAAACAAACAATAACAAATATGGATAATTAGTATCGGTAGACTTTTTTTTTCATTTGTTGAGCTTTGGCTATGAATGGTTGATAACCTAAATCGTCAACCAAATGTCACTTTAAGTTGCGTTCAGAAACTCGATTTAAAACTTTTTTTACATAAAGGATGCATGTTCGTATGTGACCTAGTAATAGTGCATGATTATTCATAACTACTCCGGCGGTCGTGCAGAAATGAGCGGAATTTGAAGGGCTAGATTCTGATTAATGTTTTTTCTCACACAGTCTTAATAAATAAATATTATTAAAAATCGTTTTCTTCCCCCCAATCTTAGTAAATAAATTTTGTTAAAAAATCTGATGTTTTTTTCAGTTAATCTTGGTAAATAAGTTTTATTAAATAAAAACTTTATTTTGCTCACTCTACCTATTTGGTTTGTATTGACAGCTATAACGCCACATTATGGCGCCCAGTCGGTCCTATTCTTAGTTGAATCGCATTTATATTTATACAGCATCGCATAGAGACAGAACCTCTTCAGATTTGGTCTTCTATTGTCTAGAAACTAAATCTGATAACAATCCTGTTCATGTTCATGTTATAAACTTTTATTTTGCCAGGAAGTTGACGCATTCTATGTATTTGGCTACATTATGTGTACTTATTTACATTTATAATTATTACAGAATATTAGAACTTATTGAAAAATTATTCTTTTATAGATTTTCCTCGCCGTGGTGGTGACAATGGCTTCAGCCGCAGGTACGTAAAATTTTGAAATTTGTAAATCTGGATTCTTTACACCTGTACTAATTTTACACTTCTGCTTTCATAATAATACTTTAACATACCTAGATTTTTGACCAAAAAAGTTTTTTATATAGTTAAGTATTTCATTAAATATGTAACTCTGTGTGATTAATGTAAAAAAAACGATTAATACATATTTTTTTATTTTATTTTTTTATAGGAGTTAGAAAGAACTACAACCCAAGCGGTAAGATTAGTTGACATTAAAAAAAGTGTCTTATTACTTAATTAACTTTCTTCACTTTCTTAGAAGCATGTCAAAGCCTAGAAATTATTTACCCTATTACCACAAAAAAATAAGTCATGTGGTCATGTGTTCAACGCGAGTCTAAGAAAATTTGTCAGACAAAATTTCTTAGACTCGCGTTGAACGCAGGACCACATGACTTTTTTTCAGAGACTTTTGGTCATACCAGCTTAACAACTAGACAATGAGGATCCGTAACGATTTTAGGTGAGAATGCAGATTTATAGAGGTAAGGATTTCATAAAATAGTGGTAAAATTTGTGTTCCACGACGAATATTGACGAATTCCTGACCAAATTATTAAACGAATTTTCGGCTGGCCGCGTGGTGGCTGTGACGTCACAGAGCTCTAGCGCGGGCGCGAGCGTGCGCTCCTAAAGTTCGACCGGAGTGAACCACGATCGAGCTCTGTGGAGTCACAACTTTCGGCCGCCGGTGAATATTGGCTACCGTAAAATTAGTAATAAAATCGCAACGCATGAACCGATTTCGATTATTTAAAAAGAATAATAATTAAAAAGCATATTAGATCATTATACTGTTTATTTTGAGTTGATTTGCTGACCTAGTTATGATCCTCATCAGTCTAGTTGTTAACCTCATTCATAAATACAAAATTATGCAGTTACTGTTTAATAATAATACATTTATGCGTCCCATTAGTCACATCACAGCGTACCGTTGCTATGGTTTGACAAAATATCATTTTAACATCACTTCTTTCCTTTGATATCACTCTATTTGTTCTTTGTTTGTTCAGGTGTCAACTTTGTGGACAATTCGCCACCAATAAACGGAAATGGGGGTAATTAATCGTATTTTTTCTTATTTAATTATCTGTTATTAGGTAAAAAGCAAAGTTATCGAAATACATTTTGGAATCACAAAAAAAGGATGGATGAATTTTGTCTGTATCATCAGTCTATCCATAATGTAATACAGTGATGTCGATTCTAGCATCAATCTCTAACCTTAAGTTTGACAACAGTGTATCCTTGTAATTTTCTATAGAGAATAAAAAGGAGAGAGTGAATTTAAATTTAGTTTTAAGTTTAGAGAAGCATGCCAGAATCGATACCAGTATCTAGGTATAATGTATTGTTCTTTCACAACTCGATCGAAAGTTCGCCACTTCGATTTCAACACGCAGACAAATTAATAAAATTAATTAATTTAAAGAATAGTAAAACGGAAATATTAAAAAAAAAATAAGTGCAGTATTCCAATCGATATTTGTAGAAAAGTTTCTTTTCAAAATGTTTTAAACGTATATTATGCCCTATGTAACATTTACGAAGAATCCGTAACCATAGCACGAACTATGGTTATTGGTTCGTGCTAGGGGTAGAGTATCCCTAGCACAAACCAATAACGGATTCGAAGAGTTTTCTTCGACGTGGCGAAAGATATCTAGATTTTTGACCAAAAAGTTTTTTATATAGTTAAGTCTTTCATTAAATATGTAACTCTGTGTGATTAATGTAAAAAAACGATTATAACATATTTTTTTATTTTCTTATTTTATTCTAGGAGTTACAAATAACTGCAACCCAAGCGGTAAGATTAGTTGACATTAAAAAAGTATCTTATTACTTAATTAACTTTCTTCACTTTCTTAGGGTGCGGCCAGAGTGCACTCAGATTCAGAGTCAGATTCAGATTCTGAAAACAAGCGCGAGAAATAAACAGTGTAGTCTAAGCAGGTTGCCTGCTTTTTCTCGCGCTTTGTTTTCTGAGTCTGAATCTGAATCTGAATCAGGAGTGATATCTGGCCGTACCCTTCGACTACACTGTTTATTTCTCGCGCTTGTTTTCGAAATCTGAATCTGAATCTGAATCTGAGTGCACTCTGGCCGCACCCTTAGAAGCCTGTCAAAGCCTAGAAATTATTTACCCTAATACCACAAAAAAATAAGTCATGTGGTCATCTGTTCAACGCGATTCTAAGAAAATTTGTCAGACAAAATTTCTTAGACTCGCGTTGAACGCAGGACCACATGACTTTTTTTCAGAGACTTTTGGTCACACTAGCTTAACAACTAGACAATGAGGATCCGTAACGATTTTAGGTGAGAATGCAGATTTATAGAGCTAAGGATTGCATTAAATAGTGGTAAAATTTGTGTTCCACGACTAATATTGACGAATTTCTGACCAAATTATTAAACGAATTTTCGGCTGACCGCGTGGTGGCTGTGACGTCACAGAGCCCTAGTGCGGGCGCGAGCGTGCGCTCCTAAAGTTCGACCAGAGTGAACCACGATCGAGCTCTGTGGAGTCACAAGTTTCGGCCGTCGGTGAATATTGGCTACCATAAAATTAGTTATAAAATCGCAACGAATGAACCGATTCTGATTATTTAAAAAAAATATTAATTAAAAAGCATATGAGATCATTATACTGTTTTTTGAGTTGATTTGCTGACCTAGTAATGATCCTCATCAGTCTAGTTGTTAACCTCATTCATAAATAAAAAATCATACAGTTACTCAGGTGCCATCATCTTAAATAATGTAAACAGGCGTAACAGCATATTCTCTCGAGTGTTTAATAATAATACATTTATGCGTCACATTATTCACTTCACAGCGTGCCTATGCTATGGTTTGACAAAATATCATTTCAACACTTTTTAACATCACTTCTTTCCTTTGGTATCACTCTATTTGTTCTTTGTTTGTTCAGGTGTCAACTTTGTGGACAATTCGCCACCAATAAACGGAAATGGGGGTAATTAATCGTATTTTTTTCTTATTTAACTATCTGTTATTAGGTAAAAAGCAAAGTTATCGAAATACATTTTGGAATCACAAAAAATGGATGGATGAATTTTGTCTGTATCATCAGTCTATCCATAATGTAATACAGTGATGTCGATTCTAGCATCAATCTCTAACCTTAAATTTGACAACAGTGTATCCTTGTAATTTTCTATAGAGAATAAAAAGAAGAGAGTGAATTTAAATTTAGTTTTAAGTTTAGAGAAGCATGCCAGAATCGATACCAGTATCTAGGTATAATGTATTGTTCTTTCACAACTCGATCGAAAGTTCGCCACTTCGATTTCAACTCGCAGACAAATTAATAAAATTAATTAATTTAAAGAATAGTAAAACAGAAATATTAAAAAAAACATTGCAGTATTCCAAATGATATTTGAAGAAAAGTTTCTTTTCAAAATGTTTTAAACGTATATTATGTAACATTTACGAAGAACCCGTAACCATAGCACGAACCATAGATGAATGATTGGAAATTTTAGATTTCCCATATAAATACCATTTTTTGATTGATAGTAATTAAATTAGAATTTCAGTACACATGCAACTATTTATTTATTCATCTTAAACTGTATATTTTTTCTACAGGTGTTTTTATTTTTTTTCTGATTATTCAAAATAGAAATAAAACCTACAATTTTATAGTTATACTAGCGGAACCGACAGACGTTGTCCTGTCTACACGTCTTTGTGAATCTAAACCATTCTCAGATCCCCTTGAACACACACAAAAAATTTCATCAAAATCGGTCCAGTCGTTTAAGAGAAGTTCAGTGACATACACACTCACAGAAGAATTATATATATAAAGATACTGCAACTAGACCTAAGTATAGAACTATAAAGTTATAAAGAAAGTTTGCTAAATCTGAATGACATTACAACTAGATTTAGGCCATACAATAATGTACAATTTACATCTTAGTTTTTTCATTTGTCTATGGGTTTAAGCTAATTTTAGTTGAATCGAGATTTAGCTAATTTACTGTCTATCTCTTATAATGTGGTTATAAAACATTTTTTTTATTTCAGGCATAGGCCCAGCATATGTTGACAATAACAGACCCAAGCAATGTAAGTTAAGATGGTATCAAAGTATTTTTTATTTCCTTTAAAAAGGCGCGCGTCTGACGGTCGGTTCCTGTCTATAGCTTCGAAAGTGGCAATCGTCCTACCGTCGGTGTCGCGCCGTGTCGCACGACGTTGCGATGTCGTGCCGTGTCGCGACTACTCATTACTTAAATGCGTGTTGCTATCCCTATATCAATACATATATCAATGTATAGGGGAAACCGCAGGCTAGCTTGCTAGCCTCTGAATAAGTCAACTATCATACGAAATTTTTGTACTGTTGTCTGTAGAATTTAGGCGTTCGCCTTTCCGATATATAATAATATTTTACACGGATCAATTACATTTGCAGGGAATGTTGATATTTCTTGCGTTTAAAGCCCCGAAGTTTAGTCTAGACATTACATTGGTTCCTACTGATTGCTTTTTTTATGTTATACCTGAGTAAGCACTTCTTCAGTCATCTCAGTCACAGGTACAGAGATATCACCAAACATTCAGCCGAAGTTCGTATTGGAATGATCGAATTTTCGACCGTTTTTAAACATAAAAGTCAATGTTAATGTGAAAATGAGTTTTTGTCCGATTCTTTTTAATTTTTGTAGAAGGCCTTCCGACGGACCGGCTGGCGATACACAAAGCCTAATATTTTTCATGCATTTGTGCATAGAAAGCTTAATAATTTAAAATAGAATAGTCTTAAAAATACCTTTAAGTTATTCCTTATGCGGATGAAACTTCGGCGCCATTTTTAATTAAATTAATAAAGAAGAAGACACACTTCACACCACTCAAATAACCTTTTTATAATAAGAAGAAGAGAAACACCGCGTATGCGTAAATAATCTCAAAAGAAAACCATTTACTGACATAGTTAGGAACGGAAAGAATTTCAATAAAAAAGTAAAAACAGTACCCCTAGCACGAACCAACATCGAATTCGTAATGTTTGCGAGTCCAAAATGACATTGTCAAATGTGTGCTGATTTTTAGTTCTCGTTACGTACTTTGTGGCGCTGCTGTTCAAGTTTCCATATAAAATTTGACATTGACGTTTCGCACTCGCAAACTTTTCGAATTCGATACGAACCATTATCGAATTCGAAAAGTTTGCGAGTGCGAAACGTCAATGCTAGGGGTACAGACCTCAAAATGTCATTATTGGCACCACCCAACTTCCAAATCATGAACAGGATTTAATTTTATTTTAATTTTTAGTATCATTTCGATTTCGATGTCGGTTTTCATTTTTTGTTTAAAAATATTTTTCATTTCATCCCTTTCAGTGAAGATTGTTACATTGTCCAAGTAAAAAATAAACAAAAATGCTCATAAAATGAAAACATTGGTTCAAACAAAATGATTTTTATTCGACCAAACGGCAAGTACTCTTCAATCGAACAAAAACCCTTTCGAATCAAAAATCTTTAAGTAGTCCGTGTACATAATATAAACAAAGTGTTGTGAAAATTACATCGTTCAAGCTAACAAAAATGCTTATACAATTAAAACTACTACGCCAAACTGAATTAAATTTTTACGGGACCAAATGGCAACTATTTTGCATCGAACAAGAATATAATCACATAACTCGGTTCAGAAAGCTCGGTAGTACATAAAAAAACTACCAAATTGAGAAACTCCTCCTTTTTGAAGGCAGTTTAAAATTAAATAAGCAGCGCTAGAAAACCTATTTCAAGAATACCATAATATATTATTTATATTATTATTAGATATTATATAATTAATCATGATCTTCATTACTGCACGTGGTAATTGGTTTTAAATCATACTTAGTATATTACATCGAAATACTATTCCGGATGCATTTGTCGGCAATTGCTATTATTCGATAAAAATATGATTCGAAAACTCTATAGACAATTAAAAATGTTATTTCTTATTTTTTTCAGTTTCCAACCCCCTCGCTCGCGGTGGCAAGTAAACAAAGACGGCGTCAAAAGAACTCCTACATACATACCTAGTACATAAGTGTGTAAAAATAAAGGAAATTGGCAAATGTATTAAAGGACATCGACGAAATCGGCCCTAGCATGCGCAAAAGAATGTCCTTTACTATTATTTTTCTATTATTTTTTTAATTTATTAGCAATTAATCATAGTAAACGGACAATCTGTTTAAAAAAATAAAAAATAAAAGTTCTTTTACTAGATACTACAGTCTGTTTATCCTAACTTGTCCTATTTGATAAACAATATTGGCACTCCTTTTTATTGAAAATACAGCATTAAAAATCAACTGATAACTGGATTCAATAGGTTTCAGTCTATAATAACGATTTATTATTTTATTTTTAAATGGGTGAATTTGTTAAAAAGTTGTTCCAAGATTGTTTACCTTAATAAATGCAGTATAGGCGACCATAAGTATTCAACTTATGAATAGAACTAGTTAGTTAATCCTTAATTAATGATACTTGTCACTAGTATTGATATTATATTTATAAAAACATTATTTCTGAAATTATGTAAAGATATTTTATACTCCCATCCCATATATCTGTTTATTTTTATGAAAATCATAATGATAACCAGGTACATACCTTATTACCGATAGTAAAATATAGAAAAAGGTAAATATAAAGACTTTGAACATTTCATTTGAAAAGAAATCTATTATTACAACAGGTAGGTATAGGTATCATATGTGCCAACTACCAACACTCATAAATCAATAAGCATTTATTATTTTTATTATTAATTGCATTTTATGTTCATTTAATGCATATTATTCAAGTGCTTACATAGAGGTAAACACTAAATCTATTCAGAATATATAAAGTGTACCTACATCTTTTACGATTAAGTACAATAATTATAACCTCCAAATCTAATACATTCTGTAGTAGGCCACGGTTCCTCAAGTTGTCCGTATCTCAACAAATGCCTAATTAGAGTGTATGACTGATTGCGAACACATCTAGAATTTTCTCATTGCTGTGCGTTCCAGGGCATTCAATGTATGGGGAACGAGCAATGTCCTTTATTGTTTTATCTCACTTTCAATATAAAATCTAGTTAAGTAGTATTAAAAAGAAAAAAATAGCTTTTGTTAACTTTTTTTTAATTATTGAAATGTAATTAAACTTCATTCAAATTGACTTATTAAAAGCTCTTTTTTTAATCGTCCAATATTTATATCCAACCCTAATGTGAAGTATACGTGGAAAGAAATTATAAAGATTTTTATTATTTTCCACTCTCGAAAGACACTCTGGATAAGTCGAAAATTTTACTTTTAGTAAAAACTTAAAAAAAAACGAAAGTGCTTAGATTTAGTGACTGTCCATTCCCTCTTATTTTTTATAAATAAAAACATCCACAAGAAGGTGTGGATACCACCCCAATTAGCATCCCTCGGCACATAAACAAAGAAGTAGGGGGTAAGTAGAACCCAAATCCAAATGTTGGTGTAAATTGGTGCTGTTTTGCAGAATGTCCAAGTTTTCCCGTTTTCTCCGTGCATGACTGGATTACTTGGTAGGTATCTTATATTAAGGTAAAAAAAAAAAGAATAAATAACAAGACTGCCAATAACTGATATCATCTCTATATCTATCTCTTATAGCGCCAATGACTATACATTTGAAACTTTTTCTATTGATTTTGAAATATTTTAATAAATAATATAATTGGGCATTTTAATGTCGTTTTATTTTGACACTTAATTAATTCCTATTTAATAGTATTGTTAGCTACAGACAAACAAATGAAGGGTTCCGCTTAAAGGGCTAATCATTATAATATAGTTGTACGGTGTAATGACCGTACATTCCGCGCGGTCAGCGGTTTACGCCCTCGGCGACAATTTTATTATAATTGTAAAATCAGTTCACAATCAGCAATCGACGTGTACTCATTGATCATTATATTTAAGCAATATTTTAACATAAGTTGACGTGTAACTTTACATATCAATAAACGGTTAAATATCATTTTTATCTATCATTTAATGTACGGGATCCGTACATTTATGGTCCTTCGAGCTTTTGACCTTTCGTGCGGGTCGGTCTAAAGCAGGATCATTCGCGCGTGAGGAGTATCAGTGACTATCAGGAATTGCAGTGCTGGCAAGCAAGGATCCAGTAGCTGTGCAGTACCGAGCAAGCGGTGAATCGAACTATAGTCAAGTAAGATCTTTCCAATTTTTTACAAATAAATATGGAAGATTTATTAGCAAATCAGGACCAGTTGGTCGGCGCCATGGAGCAGCTTTTCTCGTCTTTCAAGAAGACGGGACGCGAGCGTTGGACTGTCGAATATATCAAGACAAAGTTGGACACTTTAGATACATATTGGAGGAAGTATGAAACAAATCAATACTCACTCAGTACAGCGGTACTGAGTGAGTATTCAGATGCGGAAACTCCTTATTTCCGTGACAATCAATTTGAGCAGGCTTCTGATTTCTATAATAATGCCAAAATATACATACAAAAGTGCCAACCACCAACAGGAATTGCGAGCTGCAGCACAGGAGAGGGATTTCTTCCGACACCAAGCCCGACCATATCTTCAGTCAAGGTAGGAAATCCTAATATTAAAACACAGGCAACTGACAGCAAGACTGCTGAACTGCTAAAGAAGCAAGCTAGCCAGTTTCGAGCATTCAGCCGTACAGTAGAGGATATGGATTTAGAAGCAGTCACGGAAAAATGGGAATTCGAGGACTTGTTGAGACAGCTAAATTCAAGGTGGGCAATTATTGATTCTTTGCATTTGGAAATTGATAGTTTTAACTCACTATCATTGGCATGAATATAGAATATGAAAAGTCGTTTATAGCTAATGAAAAAACGTACAAATTCCTGAAAAAAGCAATAAGTAGCAAGTTGTGGTCCGCATCTCATAGGGATAAATTTACTCCGCAAATGGAAATACCTACTTTTAGTGGCAATTACTACCAGTGGGTCCTTTAAGGATTTATTCACAGAAACAATTCACAGTAACCCCTCACTTAACAATGCACAAAAAATGCAATTCTTGAAAAGCAAAGTGAGGGGAGAGGCTGAGAAATTGATACAGCATCTCTCAATCAATTCAGATAATTATCAAGTTTGCTGGGAATTGTTAAACAACCGATATCATGATAAAAGGCTTATATTTACGTCGCATGTAAACATTCTCTTAAATTTACCGCTTATGCAGCATCCTAATGTTACGCAGATCAAACGTATTCATGATACCACTAACGAATGCCTTAATTCTATAAAAAATCTGGGTGTTGACGTAAGCACCTGGGACCCTTTGTTGGTTCAAATTATGTCGCTGAAATTAGACTCTGACACCTACAATGATTACTTAGAGTCTCTGAAACAAACTGCCGACATTGAAGGAATTTTTAAATTTCCTGGAGATAAAATTTACAACTATGGAGTCATCTGCAACACGTAGAAAGCAAGAAAATGTATTCAAATCAAGTAATCCACTTCCGATAGCAACACAAAAATCAAACAAATTCTCTAACTATAAATCATTCTCCACCAACAAGGTTTCATCAAAAACAGTCAATCCAATTAACAAGAAAATAAATTATCAAAAGAATACTAAATCGTGTCCAATTTGCGCCGAGGAACACGGAATTTACTATTGTCAACAGTTTTTAAGTATGTCAGCGGACGCGAAAAGAAAAACAATTACAAAATATAATTTATGCAAAAATTGCTTATTCGATCATCATGGAAATAATTGTTTTTCTAGCAAAACGTGTCGTGAGTGCAATGGCCCGCACAACACGATTATGCACGAGGCGTTTGCAAACTCATCAAATGAAACCAAAAATATCAAGGTGAACCCTGGACCATCATCAAGTAGTTCGTATGTCTCACAGAAAAACGATACCAACGAGATTCTGATCACGACGGCTATTATTAACGTACAGGGGCCCAATTCTCGCGGCATAGATATTATATCACCTTCGATATATATCGAATGATCTGGCTTTTATCGAAGGAAAACCTTTTTGCCCTATTCTCACCATGTCGCAATAGATATTTATCTACGGATGATCAGTAGACATACATCGACTGGTAAAGAGCTTTCGATATATAAATATCTATGGATCTTGGCATGTCATTCTTGTTATTTCCACTTTTTTTACCTATTATTTGTTGTGTTGTCGTGTGTCATTGCCAATTATTGTTACCTCAAGATGTTGTTAACTGCCTTCATAAATAATTAGTAAATAAAGAAGTAGGTAAACAATGGTGTCGATTCTGGCGTGATTCTCTAAACTTCTTCTTTTTCTTTTTTTTATGGCATGCACGGTTTGTGCGTTCAGCTTCTCTAAACTTAATCCTAAATTTAACATCAGTCTCTCTTTTTCATTCTGTATAGAGAATGACAAGGAAACACTGTTGTCAAGTTTAAATTTAGATTTAGAGAATCGAGCCAGAATCGACACCAGTTTATATTAACGATGGATGAGTTGATTCATGTTTTCGTCAATGATTTAGTAAATGACGTGATTGCTGCTGCTGTGCTAAGGCGCCGCCGTTGTGAGAGCAAGAGGGCCCATTTGAAATGAGGGACGCCGACTACATAAAAAAATTACGTTTAAAAAAAATTTGGTTAGAAATCTATGAAGTTATGAATGACATTGGTATCGATTCTGACACGATTCTCTAAACTTAAAACTAAATTTAACATCAGTCTCTTCTTTTCATTCTGTATGGAGAATGACAAGGATACACTGTTGTCAAATTTACGTTTAGGTTTAGAGAATCATGCCAGAATCGACACCATTTTCTTATTGACGATACGGAGTTTTTGGCGGGATTTCTGCGAGTGCGGTTGGCGTCTTATTTTAATTATTCTAAAATTCGTTCATAGTTGATATTGTGAAATAAAATTGGTGTGATTTGGTGTTACAACCGTCTGCGCAACTGAAGAATTAGTGGAATCTTTAATATATACGCTATTCCG